CCCCCATAATTCAGATGTTGGAATGTTTAAAGATGTCCTGAAGGTTCCTAAGCCTCTCCTCATTTTTTTGAATTCTTGTTTCTTCATTTTTTTCTGTTTGGTCATTTTTTTTTCTTCTTTCTGGTCCACTCGATTGATTTGAGTCCCAGTTTCCTTCTCATCACTAATGGTTCCCTGTACATTTTGCTTCATTTCGCTTAGTGTAGCCTTCATTTTTTAAATCTAATTTGTGACTAAAATCAACCAGTTCTGTGAGCATCCTGATCACCAGAGTTTTGAACTGTGCATCTGATAGGTTGGCTACCCCTTGGTCACTTAGAATTATTGGCTCTGGAGCTTTGAGCTGTTGTTGTGTTTGCTCCTGTTACATATGAGGAGCGGAGCCCTGGGTGTTCACCAGGGTGGGGCAACCCAGGTCACTGGGTTGTGAAGCTGTATGTGGGGGTGGGGTCAGAGAGGCGCAATGGTGTTTTTTCCACTCTCTCTTGGATTTCAGTCCCCTCTGCTACTTCCCACAAGGAAATTGGGCCCTTCTGCCGCTGGTTCTCAGATGTGTGGGCTTGTGCACCAGCCAGGACCCTGTGGGTCTCTCCAATGAACTCTCTGTGAGCCTGGGAGCCTCTCCCTGCACCTCGACCCCCAAAAGTGTTTCGAATTGGTGCTTTTACACTTTATTTCCCATCACTGGGGCCCTGATTTGTGCAGTCTGTCTCACTGCTCGCTCCTTTGCCTGGTTTATCGGTCTGGCTGAATGGTTCATTGTTGTCAGACTTCGGTACAGTTCAATTTTCTGTCTGTTTTGATTGCGTTTTTGTGACTAAATCTTTAAACTTGGTTGTGTGAGGAGGTACAGTGTTTCCACCTGTGCCTCCATCTTGGCAGGAAGTCCCCAAACACAATTATTTTTTTTAAAGATTTTATTTATTTATCTTTAGAGAGGAAGGGAAGGAGAGAAGGAGAGAAATACCAATGTACGGTTGCCTCCCGTGAGTCCCCTGCTGGGAACTGGCCTGCAACCCAGGCACGTGCCCTGACCGGGAATCGAACTGCATTCGTGTGGTCTGCAGGCCCGCACTCAATCCACTGAGCCACACCAGCCAGGGCCCAAACACAATTATTGAATACACTGTTTTTATCTCATTGTATGTTCTTGCCTTCTTTGTCAAATATTAACTGACCGTATATGTGTAGATTTCTTTCAGGGCTCTCCATTCTACTCCAGTGATCTGTCTGTTTTTATGACAGTCCTGTGCTGATTTGATCAGTATAGCTGATCAAAATCAGCTATAGTTTGATAGTTTGATAGAAGTATAGTTTGACATGAGGTAATGTGGTATCTCCATTTTGTTCTTCTTTTCCCAGATTGCTGTGGTTATTTGGGGTCTCTTGTAGTTTCATATAAAATTTTGGATTATTTGTTGTAGTTCTGTGAAATGTACCATTGGTATTTTAATAGGAATCACATTGAATCCATAGATGCTTCTGGAAGTATGGAAAAGGTGAAAATATCAATTTCCCTTATCCATGAGCAAGGGTATGTTTCCATCTATTTATATCTTCTTCAATTTCTTTCTTCAGTGTTTTATAATTTTCTGAGTACAGGCACATGCGCCTACACTGCATCGAATTGTTGATGCTCAACCATCTGAGTCACACGGGTCAAGGCTCTTTGATGCGATTTTAAATGGGATTGTTTCCTTAGTTTCACTTTCTGATAATTCATTACTGGTGTACAAAGTGCAACCGATTTCTGGACATTTAGTTTGTATCCTGCTGCTTTATTGAATTCATTTATCACTTCTGGTAATTTGGGGGTTGAAATTTTTAAGGTTCTCTAGATACAGTAGCATGTCATCTGCAAATAATGACAGTTTTACTTCTTAATTTCCAATTTGGATGCCTTTTTATTTCTTCTTGTCTGGTTGCTATAGCTAAGGCTTCCCGTACTATGTTGAATAAGAATGGGGAAAGTGGACATCCCTGTCTTGTTCCTGATCTTAAGGGAAATGTTTTAGTTTCCCCCCACTGAGTATAATGTTAGCTGTGGGTTTGTCACATATGGTCATTATTATGTTAAGATATGTTCCCTCTATTCCAACTTTGCTGAAAGTTTTTTTAAAAGATTTTATTTATTTATTTTTAGAGGGGAAGGGAAGGAGAGCGGGAGAGAAATATCAATGTATGGTTGCCTCTTGTGCATCCCCTGGTGGGAACTGACCTGCAACCCAGGCATAACCCTGACTGGGAATTGAACTGCAATCCTTTGGTTCGCAGGCCCACACTCAATCCACTGAGCTACATGAGCCAGGGCCTGCTGAGAGTTTTTATTGTTACTGGGTGCTGGATTTTTATACTTATCTGTATCTACTGATATGATCATATGATTTTATACTTCACTTTTATGTGGTATGTCACATTAAAGGATTTAAGGATATTGTACCAGCTTTGTACCTCAAGAATAAATCCTACCTGATCATGGTATATGAGCTGTTTTATTTGTTGCTGGATTCAGTTTGCTAATATTTTTTGAGGATTTTTTCATCTCTGTTCATCAAGGATATAGGCCTATAATTTCCTTTCTGCATAGTACCATCATCTGGTTTTGGAATTAGGATAATGCTGGCCTCATAAAATGAGCTTGGAAGGCTTTCTTCCTCCTGAAACTGTTTTTGTAATAGTTTGAGAAGGATAGGTGTCAGTTCTTCTTTGAATGCTTGGTAAAATACGCCCATAGAGCCATCCAGTCAGGGACTTTTGTTTGTTGCAGGGTTTTTTTAAAAGATTTTTATTTATTTATTTATTTTTAGAGAGGGAGAAAGAGAGAGTGATAAATATCAATGTGTGGTTGCCTCCCATGTGGCCCCCACTGGGGTCCTGGCCTGCATCCTAGGCATATACCCTGACTGGGAATCGTACCTGCGACCCTTTGGTTTGCAGCCTGTGCTCAATCCACTGAGCTAGGCCAACCAGGGCTTGTTGCGAGTTTTTGATTAGTGTTTCAATTACATCAGTTGCAATCAGTCTCTTCAGATTTTTTTTAAGATTTTATTTATTTATATTTAGAGGGGAAGGGGGGAAGGAGAGAGGGAGAGAAACATCAATGAATGGTTGCCTTTTGCGCGTCCCCTGCTGGGAACTGGCCTGCAGGGAACCAGCCTGCAACCCCAGTATGTGCCCTGACTGGGAATCGAACCGCGATTGTCTGGTTTGCAGATTTTGCTTCTTAATTGGGTTTTGGAAGAGACGTATGTTTCCAGGAAAATTATCCATATCTTCCAGATTGTTCAATATATTGGCATTTAGTTGTGTATAATATTTTCTTGTAATGCTTTGTATTTCTGTGGTTTCAGTTTTTACTTGTTCTCTTTCATTTCCGATTTTATGTATTTAGGTCCTCTCTTTGTGTCTTAATGAATATGGTTGTTTATCTTTCCATAGAATCAGCTCTTGATTTCATTGATCCTCTGTATGGTGTTTTTAGACTCTATTTCATTATTTCTGCTTTGATCTTTATTATTTTCTTTCTTCTACTCACTTTGGGCTTTGGTTGTTCTTTTTCTACTTCCTTTAGGTATAAGATTAGATTGTTTGAGATTTTTCTTATTTCTTGAGATAAGCCTAAAAAGCTACAAATTTCTGTTTTAGGCCTGCTCTCAGTACGTCTTAAAGATTTAGGGTTGTTGTTCCCATTTGTCTCAATCTTTTGATTTCTTCTTGATCACATTGTTAAACCATTTATTGCTTACTGACATGTTATTGAGCCTCCATGTATTTGAGTGTTTTCAGTTTTTTTTTTCCTTTAATTGATTTCTAGTTTCCTACCATTGTGGTCATAGAAGATGCTTCGCATTATTTTCACCTTTTTAAATTTATTAAGACTTGTTGTGTTTCCTAACACATGTTCTATCCTAGGATATGTTCTATGTGCTCTTGAGAAGGATGTATATTCTCTTGGTTTGAGGTAAAATGCTCTGATAATATCAGTTAAATCCATTTGGTCTAGTGTGTCCTTTATGGCTCCAGTTTCCTTGTTGATTTTCTATCTGGAAAATATCCATTGGTGTCAATGGACTGTAAAAATCCTCTACTGTGATGGTATTACTGACATTCTCTAACTTTGTGTACATCAAGACATGCTTTATATATTTACATGCTTCAATGATGGGTATGTAAATGTTTACAAGGGTTATGTCCTGTTATTGGATTGATCCCTTTAGTATTATGTAGTGTCCTTCTTTGTTTCTTATTCCAGCCTTTGTTTTAAACTCTATATTGTCAGATATAAGTATTGCTTCCCCAGTGTTTTTATTTGCATGAAGTATTTTTCCTTCCCTTTACTTTCAGAATGTGTGTTTCTTTCCTTCTGAGCTAGGTCTCCTGTAGACAGCATGCATATGGGTCTTGTTTTCTTCTCATCAATTCAGCTACTCTATGTCTTTTGATTGGAGCATTTAAGCCATTTACATTTGAACTGATTATTGATAGGTATGCATTTATTGCTATTTTTTCTTTTTAATTATGACCCTCCTTTTCTTCTTAAGATTTCATTTATTTATCTTTAGAGGGGAAGGGAAGGAGAGAGGTAGAGAAATATTGATGTATGGTTGCCTCTCTTGCGTCCCCTGCTGGGAACTGGACTGCAACCAAGGTATGTGCCCTGACTGGCGATCTAACCACAGTCCTTTGGTTCACAGGCCCGTGCTCAATCCACTGAGCTACACAAGCCAGGGCTTCTTTCTTCTTCTTAAAGAAGTCCTTTTTAACATTTTCATAAGTTTCTAAAAACTATCCAAAAGATTATGGTCTGCTACTTTGGGGCTTTGCAGAAAAGCAAGCAATTAAGGGAGGTAAGGATGCCCTCTGATAACCGCTGCTGTTTCTCTTTTCTCATTTGCCCTCTACTCAGCTGTAGGTGCCTCCTGCAAAGAAATATACACAGATAGAAATTCCAGTCTGCGACTTCAGGTGCCAGATAAATTGAACACTGCTGGAAGATGACAATGGCTACTGTCTTCAGTAGTGCAGTCCAGGCCTCCTTGAATATAGGCTCCATGTTTGAAGAGTATGATAATGACTCTGAGGTCATCCGTCAGCGCTTCAGGCAGTTCCAGTACACAGAAGCAGCAGGGCCTCGTGAAGTTTTCAACAAACTCTGGGAGCTTTGCCATGAATGGCTGAAGCCAAAGACTCGTTCTAAGGAACAAATGGTGGAGCTTCTAGTGTTGGAGCAATTTCTGACAATCCTGCCCCGTGAGCTAGAAATGTGGGTGACAGAGCAGTGTCCAGAGACTACGGAAAGTGTTGTATCACTGTTAGAAGAATTACAGACCAAACTGGAGACAGCAGAGCTACAGGTGAGAAAAGAGTTTGGAATCTTGGTAATTAAACCAAAACAGTGTCAGAGGCAGGTGGGATTGGATGGGACATTTGTCTCTGTGTCATTCTTCAACTCCAGGATTTCTCCACAGTCCTTTTCATGATGCTCTTCTACTGCAGAAAACATATGGATCAGTGGTTTTCAACCTCATCATACCCAATCCCCCTTCTGTAACAAATATTCTCTAACTGCCCAGTAAATGTACTTAAGTGAAATTCATAGTTAACAGGACCTACCTACAATCATTCCTCAAAAATATCAATATTATGCTCTAGTGTCTGCACACCAGATCTGGCCACAATGGGTTTTGTATACCCTGTGAGCTAATAATGGTTTTGAAGTGTTATAGCATTGTTAAATAGAAAAGAGAAGGAAGGAAAATAAGTCACAGCCTGAATGTGGCACAAAAAGCATGAAATATTTACTATCTGGTTCTTTACAAAGAAAGTTGTCCAACTTTGAGTCAAGTAGAGTCTAGAAAGAATTTAAAGGAAAAGGAACATAGTTCATTACAAAGTACAAAGCATTTTAGCATGCACATGTCTGGGTTTGAGTGCACCACAAGACCTCATGAAATTGTCAGGGGCTTGCCTCTCTGCAGACCCACTGTAAAGATGACAGTTTGTGATACAGCTCAAACACTAAGAGCAGTGTTGCTGTTTGTCATGTGATTTTCCAAAGTGGCAAACAACTCTTGGTGAATCTGAACAATTAGTAGTATTTTTTAAAAAAAATAAAAAATTCAGTTTACACCCAGTATTATTCTGTATTATTTTCAGGTGTGCAGCATAGTGGTGAGACAGTCATATATTGTACTTTACACAGTATTCCCCCCTGATATTCCCAGTACTCACTGGCACCGTACAGTTATTACAATCTGAATGACTGTATTTCCTATGCTGTCCTTTACGTCACCATGACTTATATTCCCAAAGTATTGCTTCCCTAGAAAAGTCAAATGAAGCTAAAACTTGCAAAAAATATGTTGTGAATACATGACCAACAAGGTAAGGCTCTTGACAGGTTCTTTTGCCTATGTGAATACTTGAGGGGGACACTCCAAATTTGGTAGGGACCCAGAGCAATTCTGCACTGTTCATTATCTGTACTCCCATCTCTGCCCACTAAATTCTCATAGCCAGCGCCTGCCATCATATCCAGAACACCTCCTGGGGGTGGTGGCCCTGCCCTCTGTTCAAAAGCACTAAGCTAAGCCTGTTTGAGGTGTGTGATAGCTGAGCACAGGGCAGCATCTCTGGAGAAGGGAGAAAGTAGTTCTAGTTGGGGACACTAGGGGCACTGGAGTCTTGTGTGTTGATGGGACTCTGCAGTTAGCCTGCATGAGCAGGACTCTTCCGAAGTGTGCTGCCTGTAGGATGGAATGCGTTTATGATTTCCCTTCCTTTGTGTCTCCTTGTTTGGCTTACTACATGAGATGTTGTCTTCATGTGGTATAATCCTGCATTGCCGGCATGGTAGGCACCAGCCAAGGGTGGCACTTGAGCACTAGCAATGTGGCTAGACCAAATTGGGATATGCTATAAGTATAAAATGCACACCACATTCAGAAGATGTAGGCTGAACAACAAAGCAGGTGAAATATCATATTAATAATTCTTTATACTGGTTACATTATGAAATTATGGTATTTCCGATACATTGGGTTAAATACTGCATGTTATTAAGGTTGACTTTAACTATTTTACTTTTCACATGGCCACTGGAAAGCTTAAAATGACTTGGGTGGCTTGCGTTATATTGCTACTGGGTACTGCTGGTCTGAACCTTAGAATGATGGGTTCTGGCATTTTTCCCAGATCGATAGGCAGGAGATGCTCTTGGAAGACCCAGCAGCAGTTGGAATGGCCGATGTGCTACCAGACATCTACCTGGAGACACTTCCACCCCAAGCAATGGGACCTTTCTCTGAAGCCCCAGTGGCAGAGGTGCAGCTCCCACAGGCAGGGCTGCAGGAGCTGAGTGATGATGCTACTGGAGAAGGCCAGGCCTTTCTGGACCCTGGTAAGGCAAGGGTTTTATTTCCTTTCCTTGATTTCTCTTTTGACAGCTCAGGAGCTCTACAGGGTTGGGGTTGGTTATAAATGCTGAATACCAGATGAAAATGGATCACTCTGATAAAGAGTAGAAGAAGGAAATGTCTCTTGAGCAGTGGCTGGCCACAAAGCATACCAGATAGAGCAGTGTTCAGAATCCCTTGAGCTGATGAACCTGCTCAGGAAGGAGGCTTTGACCAGAATGTTGTACAAGAAATCGAGGAGAGCTTGAGTGTTATGAATCAAGATTAATTTCCCCAGGATATCTTATATCAGTGGAATCTGTGGTGTTGTTGTGGGTCCCAAGGGCCTAAGTGGCTCTTATGGCCTAAGAGCCACATTCACATGTGTTATTTCATCAAATACCATACTCATTACAATCTTTTAGGAGGATGTAATTGCCTGCCACAGTAAAGCAAATATGTATCTTTTCCATAAAAGCCTAGACCGGTGTTTCACCAACCGTACTAAGGAGATTCTCTATAGCAGGATCACTTGGGGTGCATTTTTAACAAGCTGTCCAGGCGAGTTCTGCACATACTACCATTCAATAAACACTGCTCCAGACAATGTAGGAGTTAGTACAGGGTGAGAAAACCCAGGGGAAGAAAGGCTCTTAGAAGTTCATGGAAGTCTTGAAAGTGATCAAGGACTTTCCAAGATTGTTTATAGGGAGAAAGCACAAGGTTCTTTGGGCATACCCTGAGAGATATCACATTAGAAAAGACCATTATACTGCATATGAATTTAAAAAAATCTGTTAAATACCCAAGTACCTTTCCTGGGTTCCTTGGTTTCCCATATCCTAAATGCATGAGAATGGATGTGCTGGACACTAGGATCCATTTACTCTTGAAGCCAATAGAAATTCTACCTCTGGTATTTTCTTACCTATGGTTTGCCCCCCGCTTTTGTGGTCTCTATTCCAAATGCTGTCTTTTCCCTCCAGGTGTCTGGCAAGTGGGGAATTGTACTTGTGAGACTCCACCCTCTCCTTGGAAAAGATGGCTTGGTCTATCCTAGGCCTAACAATAGGACCTTATGTTACCTGTGCAACACCCCCACCCATGGAATTCACCTCATAACATCACAGTAATGTTATTTGGTCACAAATTTTTCTCCCTTTCTGCATTTGTTCAATTTTTCTGGGTACCAAATTTCGTAGCTTGCTCTAGCAAGTTCTGAGCATGCAGAAGACATGTACTCTGTCTCATTTTTTTTTAACAGAGGTGACCAGGAGGAAAAACCCAAAAGGACACATGTATGTCCATTAAGGTCAAAGCCAAACTATGTAAAAATGTTGTCATTTATATTCTAGCCTCTACCTCACCTATACCCCTGATCTGTTAACAAGTGTTTTAAAATCTGTAATTCTGTGTGTATGCCTGCAGCAAGTGGCAGAACCTAGCCAGTCGTGTTCAGTTATAAATCTTTGTGCATATGAATTCCCATTACATGTGTGTGAATTTGCTCTTCTTACCAACAGTGCTAGGTACAAAGATCACATATGATGTTGAGCAGCACTATGGCTCTTGATTCGAATACTTTAGTCTCTTGAGCACGGGAAAGTCCAGTATATTTAACAAGGGAGAGATAGAATGATGTAACAAGTAAAACACATCAGTTAGGAGAAAAGGAAACTACCCATTTCTCATTACTGTTTAAAGTAATATAACATCCTTTGTCCTGCTGACTGGGAGGTCTTTATGTCTATATCATGGTCACCAAAGTCTCTTCCTCCTTACCACTTGTGGAGGGTTGAAGGATCTGCAGGCTGATCTAGGAACAAGATAGGACCGGGGCGGGGGGGCAATAGCACACACAAGCTTTGTTGGCAACTCTTTGTCAGGTGTGCTTGTGAGGGAAGTCAGGGGTCAGAAGGGAAAGGACACAATGGAATTCTCCAGGGAGTAAGGGCTCAGAGAAGGGGCTTAGCTGTCTAGGTGATGTCACAGCCCAGTAGCATACTGGCAGCTTATTGGTCACAGAATTCCAAAGCGCAGTGGCAGCTAGGAATCATATAACTGCAAGGCTCCATCTTTTCAATGGCTGGCAGTTGTGGGGTGATATTTTATGGGCTATGCAAAGGAGGGTGGCTCTAAATGGCTAAAAATATGCTTCTGGGGCTAATTTTCAAAAAACTGGTTGTGAGAGAATTTGAGGGTGGCACTTGCAGGCTTTCGAGTAAGACATCCCAGCCGGGAGTGAAGAACTGAACAACCCAGTACAAAGAACTTTGTACTGGGAACTTCACTCTCCAGCTGGGAGTGAACAACTGAACGAGCCCAGTACAAAGAGGGCTCGTTCACACCCTTAGACTCATTTCCAGAACAACCTTTAGGGTGGCTACTGTGGCATTTGAGGGCAAAGAGAAGAGCGCTGCCAACAGAAGCAGGCATAGAGGCATGACTTCTGACTGACATTCAATATGTACCAAACTCCTCTGGGGCCAAGCCATAAAAGATGCACTGTGAGCATCCTTACAGGGGCATATATCAGCAAGACAAATTTCTAGGTGAGGAACGATTGGTTAGTGGGCTTATACATTTAAACCTTTAATAGATATGGTTGAATGTCCTCCAAAATTACTGTACCAATTTTCCCTCCCATTCCAGCATGTGAGTGCCTGTGTCTGCTCACCTTCACATACTGGCTTGCCTTATGATCAGTGCCATGGCTGTTTCCCCCATGTTGGCAGACAGAAGGAGGGTTCATATCTGTGAAGATCTTTTTAATCAGTGTCCAGTTCATCCAGTATTTGTGATAGTTTTTCACTGACTGCATGAGCAGAAGGTGGGAACTGAGGTCAGAAGGGTGGCAGACAAGTCAAGGGGGGATGGATAATGGCCTTCACTGACATGGGCTGTGAACATTGGTTGTGGAATACAAATTAGTGATAGTGGCAGGAGGAGGGCTCTGAGTGTGCAGAAAGTGGAGGCTGAGTGCACCTCAGCCGCAAGAATCTGAAAATGACACAGGAGGAAGGTGGGCGTGGGGTAGGGTTGGTAGACAGTTAAGAAGTGCATGAGGCGAATATCCAGCAAGGAGCTCAAGTTTGGGTCCGCCTCTTTGATGAAAGCTGGCACCAGGGGGGTGCCATGCTGGGGTGAGTAAGTAAGGTGACAGTGTTCAGTCTTCTTTAGTTGGTGCTGCCCAGAAAGGGGCAGCTGGACTGATGGTAAGTCCATGAGACCTAGCTGCCTGGTGATGATATTCCTGGCCTTGTTCTCATGGGTGCTAGATTCTGTCTCTGGGGCTGCTTCAGTCCTTGACTAGTCATGTCTTTAGCTCCATTTCACCCAAGGGGAAGATGTTTGGGTTGGTTTAAGGTGACTTGTGATGAAGTTTAGAGCCTGAAGAATATCAAGTCTGTGCTCTATGTATGGGATGGGAACCCCCATAGAAACACATCCTTTAATTCTGAACTTATTTTCACATCTCTGCTATGGGGGGATTGAGGACTTCCAGGTTTCTGCCACCCTAAGGCTGTGCTGTGCTGCTGTCCACCCACCACCTTTCCAGTAGTTCACACTTTCACTTGATGGCGCCTTTCTTTTGATCCATGACATGCAGTTTTATTTGACCTGGGGCTCATACCCTCTCATTCTAACCTTACTTTTGAAAATTAGGCATCAATAAAATGCACAGTTGTATTTAGAATCTCTTCATTTGAAGTATCTGGCCTTTTAAAAATAAAACTAGGAAATAGGGTGTTTTAGTCGACTTCCTGTGCTTTGATATAATGTCCTGAAAGCTAAATTTTCCTTCAGATCAACATTATCCACACTGACTTGCTAATGTCATTTTACTAATTCCAGTATTTAAACATTGCCCTGTATTTCCACCTGAAATGAGCCATTTCCAACCCACACTTTACTACAGACCAGTAAACTTGGCCAGAGGTGAGGTAGGGGTGTGCAAAAAGAGGGTGGAAACACAGCAGCTCTCACTGAGGAGAGAGGTGGTAGGATATAGGGGACTTGTGGTTTTTCTTAGATTGAGTTAGAAACACTGCTGGATGATGATTTTGGTTAGTTTCAAGAGAATCTACTTCTAGACTTTAGCTGAAACAAACATATACAGGTTATTTTTTTTTACCTGTTGCTTACCCACTTCAGTTGTCAAAATTTGAATATTTCTTACTAAAATTACTCCAGTAACCAGTTTCCTAACCCCCACTTTGGCCTCTCTCTTTTTTTTACTTGGTATTAAGTTACACAATGTTTCTCAGTTTTAATATGGCAGCACTATAGGAAGGCTGATTCCATATTATGGCTCTCACCTACACAATCCCATTCTCCAAACAACAGTGGAACACATTCAGTGTATTGACTTCATAAGGGAATTGATTCACCTTCCCTCCATACACTGCAGGAGAATCGCTTTGAGTTGAATACAATGGGATCTCCCCAACCCCCAGTTTGGGTTTTGTTCTTATGTTGAAAAACAAAAAACACAGCAAAAATGACTTGTCAGAAGCTCCTGGTGAAGCAATGCTGACAAGGTAGTGGGCAGATATTGAGAGATCGCATGTCCTAGAAAGAGACCTATACTCTGCATAAACCTGTATTGACTCAAAACTACCCTTCCTCCCATCTCTCTCCTGTGGCCAGCATACCAACCACCAAAGCCTGACCCCATAGACCCCTGGGTGAAGCAACTACAGGACTGTATGGAAGTGGAACAATTACAATGGCTTGACTTCAATACAGGTAGGTGAGGGTTCATGTGATGCTTTGGAAAACCTAAAGAGATTTCTATGCTTACTCCTAGAGTAAAGAGGTTTGGGATAGCACTTGGAAGTTTTTGTCTTCCCACTAGCTATTGAGCATAACTCTTCTCATTTGCTACCTATCCATTCTCCTTGGAATATGGTGAGATCTGCAATTTCTATTCATGCTCTGTATTTTGATGTTGGGAGAGAAAATGTGTCAAAGCAGAGAAAACCTGGAGAGTATGTGTTCATTTTCTATTTCTTTAGACGGAAATGCACTTCTTGGTCCCTGTTTCCTAGAAGACTCGGAACACCCAAGGAATCAACGGGAAAGTCCCACAGAGCATGTACCCAGAGAGTACACATTGCTTGTGTGTGATCAGAACCCCTTTCCAGAAGAAAGAGCTGAGATATACAACCAGGAAGAACCTCTCAGCCCCAGAGCTCTTGAGGAAAACCATGCCAAAAAGAGCCCATACCAGTGTATTCACTGTGGGAAAGAATTTGTTTCTAGTAAGGTACTTAATGGGCACCTGAAAATTCATGTGGGAGATCTCCCTCATGAGTGCCTTGAATGTGGGAAAAGATTCCTTCGTAAATCCAACCTACAAAGGCATCTTCGCGTTCACAGAAAGGAGGCACCATATAAATGCAATGGGTGTGAGAAACATTTCAGTCAGTTGTCACACCTCATAGAACACCAGAAAACTGCTTCTGGTCAAGAAGTATACATTTGCCCTGAGTGTGGGGAGCGATTTTGCAATAGAAAAGGTTTTGCAAACCACCTAAAAATCCACACAAATGGAAGACCTTTTAAATGTCACAGTTGTGGAAAAACATTTAATCGACAGAGAGACCTTAGAGTGCACTATATGGCACACACTGAAGAGAGACCATTTATGTGTGAGCATTGTGGGAAAAGCTATAGACATAAATCAAGCCTTATTTTTCATTTAAGAAACCATTCAGGGGAGAAGCCATAGAAGTGCACCCATTTTTTACAAGCTTCTTAAAGAAAGCATGCTTTAATATGCACCAAGCTGCTCACTTTAAAGAATAATTCTTCAGAGAAGATTTCTTTGAGCTGCTCACCTTAGAAAAGAATTTGTTGAGGAAATTAGGTTCTACAGAAATTGACACAAATCTATCAAAACTGTAACCTTCATTAGGCTGCCTTGGAAGGACAGTTTTGTTTGAGCTTACTTGTAAGAACAGTTTTATATTTGCTGTGCTTAAAATCCATGTTTCAAGGCATATAAATTCTAGAGTATACACTGACTCTTTCCACTGTCCCAGATATGATGATTTCTGCATAAGGAAGTCTTGTTTAATCCTTATGATAAAAATGTCTTTCCCTGGTTTGTGTAGCTCAATGGATTGAGTGCAGGCCTGTGAACCAGAGAGTGGGCGATTCTATTTCCAGTCAGGGCACGTGCCTGAGTTGGGGGCCAGGTCCCCAGTAGGGGGCACTTGAGAGGCAAGCACACATTAATGTTTCTCTCCTCTTTCTCCTTCCCTTCCCCTCTCTCTAAAAGTAATTATTAACATTTTTTTAAAAAAGAAAGAAAATGTCTTGTCCCAAGCCAACCACAGCACAGGTGTTAGTAAGGAACATATAAATGTTGCTATTCCTTTCAGGTCTAGGGTCAGTAATCCAATAGACAGGGATGTACCCAATTGACCTGTACGTATGCATTACTTTAGTCCTATGGAAATGCATACGCTGTTCCTGTTTGATTGCCACTGACCAGTAGTTGCAGCAACATGCAGGTGATTCCCTGAAGGTGGCAACAAGCACTTCCCTTGACTCCCTCTTACTCCACAGGCAGAATCTCCTGTGCACCCACTGTTATGTTTATACATCATTTGAGCCTTGAATGCAGTCCATTTTTGACATGTGGAGCACTTCCAAAAGATAAGTATCAGGGAAACATCCAACTCATAATGTACTGTGAGGGGCAGAGAACCATGCCCATCACACCAGTACCAGGAAGAGAGAGTGGACTAGATAAACATGGAGACCCTACCTGGAGTGAACTTCCAGGAAATATTGTATTTTCTTTTTGTTCTTTGAAATGATCAAAGCATTGAAGGCCACAAACTTTAAGTCTAACTTTGGTCACCTCCCAAAAATCTTATGCAGTGTTCTTACTTGTTATTTTGCAGTTGTTTGTTATGGCAGTTTCTATTTTATTTCCTTTCTGCCCCAAGAGTCGGACATTGTCGATAATTTCTGCCAAGTTTTGTTTATATTGCAAAGTTATTAATAAATGTGGTTCATTCTAGTTTTGCTTTGAAGTTTATTTACATGTTCTTGAAGACTTATGTGCTATGACCGAAGAGACTAACAGTTCCATTTGTAGAGTACGCCTTAGGAGAGGAGTGGTTGTGTCATCAGCTTATAGCCATTCACCTTCTCTAAAAACTGCCAGAACATATGACACACACCTTTTCCCACTCCTTGGCTTGTGGTTTCACTCAGTAATTGGTGTTCCCTGATGAAGAGAATTTCCCAGGCGTTACATAGTTGAACTTATCATTTCCTCCCCCTTTACTATTAGTGCTGTTTGAATCCTGGTGAAGAAATGTTTTGTCTACCCCAAGATCATGAATATATCTTCTACATGTTCATTTTAAAGTTCTATTATGATACCTTATACATTCAGATCACATTTAACTGGAGATTATTTCTTTTACAAATGGTATGAGATAAGGTTTAGGGAAACACTTGATATTTTGTCCTCAGCCTTTGGGTCTTAGCAAAAATGAAGTTGGTAAGAGAATGTTTTTACCAGCCTATACATGGAATTGAGCAAGTATATTATGAATAGTATCCCAGGTGAGGGGATATCTCATACAAAGGTCTGGGGAGAGGAACACAGAGTGGCTGGAGGGAAAACTAGAGTGCTAGGCAAAGATCAGGTAATGAATAGAGGGTGTGGTAATCCACCTGGTGGAGTTGGAACCTCATGGCGCAGTCAGTGGGAAACCATCACTCTCCTTGAGAACTACTGGTGAGATTTGCATTTTATAAAGCTCACTCTGGCCCCTGCATGGTGATTTATGTAAGACGAGATGGGGGACAGGAAGACCAGTGAGGAGGCTGCTGCAAGTGATAGAGAAAGTGGGTTGAGGTAAGGACAGTGGTATGCAGATGAAACAGAAGGGAAAGATTATTTGAAGGGAGGGAATTAGGAAGCAGAATCCACAGGCTCCAATGACTGACTGGACACGAGGGGTGTGATAGCCAGATCTGTGTCCTGAGTGCCTGGAGTTGGGACACTGGGGGAGCAGACCATGAAAAGGGAATGAGGGCCCTCTTGGCCGATAGGTCCACAGTCACCTGTCGAAACTCATAGAAGTTTCAGTCCTGTCATCCTATTCACTGTGCTCTAGACTGTCTCCTGCCCACAGCGATTCACTCTTTTAATAATCTTTGGGGGTTTATTATGTTCCAGATAACATTATAGGTACTGGGGATGACAGAGTCCCAGTGCTTGGGAAAATCACAGGTTAATAAGACAAGACTAAAAGTTAAGCAGAAAAATTCTACATCAAGATGGTAAGTACAGGCACAAACAAATATGTATAAGTTAACATTGGAGGAAGGTGGTGAAAAGGTGCAAACTTTCAATTGTAAGATTAACAAGTACTAGGGAGGCAATGTACAACATGATGACTGTAGTTACCACTGGCATATGATATCAATAGGTAGGAAAGTAGTTAAGAGAGTGCATTCTTGGAGTCCTCATCCCAAGGAAACAATTTTTTCTTTCCCTTCTTTCTTTCTTTTTATTGTATCTGTATGAGATGATAGATGTTAGCTGAACCTATTGTGGTCATCATTTCACAATATATATGTCACCCTGAGCTTAGACAGTGATGTAAGTCGATTATTTCTCAATGAAACTGGGACATAGGAAGAAAGAGAAACTTAGAGACATAAAAATTAATCATTATCCTATGACACAGGAATCCCCCCTCTGGCTTGTTATCCACAAGAATGGAAATCAGTGTCTGCAGCAGGTATTAGCACCTCAGTGTTCATGGCAGCACTATTCTCAAGAGGCAAGCCGTGGAAACTACCTAAATGTCTGTCAGCAGATGAGTGGATAAAGAAAATGGGGTATGTACATTCAATGGAATATTATTCAGCCTTAAAAAGATGAGGAAATTCTGTGATATACAACAACATGGAAGAACCTTGAAGACATAATGCTAAGTGGAATAGGTCAGTCACAGAAAGACAAATACTGCATCTTTCCATTTCCACGAGGAATCTAAAATAGTCCCACTCTTTAGAATCCGAGTCAGATGGTGGTTACTAAGGGAGGGAGAGATGGGGTGTTGCTACTCAGCGGGACTCAAGATTCATTTATGCAAGAGGAGGAAGTTCTAGCCTCCATACTGTTATGTACACATGGGGCCTATAGTTAACAGCACTGATCTGTACACTTGAGTTGTTTTAGAGTGTAGAGCCCATGTTCACTGTTCTGACCATAATAACATAACTTTAAAACAATAGAAAAGAAAACCACCGAGACTCCCATTTAATGGAATAAAATGAATGATAAGAAACACACAAATATTCTGTAAACTAAAATGCCAAACTGCATTTAAGGAGGGTGGTCAATAAGTATTTCTGAAGTGAAGAAATGAACACATTTCTAGAAGGAGAGAACAAAGACTGAGATGTTGTTTACTGGCACCTGAGGTTCTACTAAGGGTGGTAGAATGGTGGGATCACCAACGTCCAGATGTTTTACGCCCAGATACGCTGTTTTATATATACGCCCAGATACGCTGTTTTATATATACTCAGAGGAAACCAGGATGGGTTCTTGGGTTCATGAAATGGGTGTCAAGAAGCAACAGTTTCTTCTTTCTCAGAAGGCCCTCTACCGCGACTCTGTATTAACATTCAAAGGGAAATAACTGACAGTGGAGAATGAAATACTTGCGGTGTTTGATCTCTGTTCTTTTTCATGCTATGTAAGCCATGGAGTGAAATGGCCCTCCACTGCTTGGCAAGACAATGAGAGTTTCTTGACCTCCATTTCTAGGCTCCATACTGTTAACAACATCTATTATTATTTATTGAGTGCTTACACTATGTCACAATTATTAGTAAGTATTTGAGATATTTCATCTAATCTCATCCTCACAGTCACCATATGAGACAAGAACTGTTGTTTTTTAAATATACTTCAGAAATGAAGAGACTGAGGCTCAGAGAAGCTTAAAAAATTACTCAAGGTCACACAACTGTGACTCAAACTGCAAAGCTTGACTCTAAGCCCTGACACCCTTTGTTCCTTTCTGAAAACAGATTTTTCTCCCAACCTGTAACTAATTACTACAGGTCCGTGAACCCTGAATCAATCCACTGGGGCAAGATGTGTAGCTGTAGCACTCAGACTTTTCCAAATAATAGCAGAGTAATACATAGGACCCTCAGCAGGATGTGGGGCACTATCCCATAATGAAACCATCGATATTAATGCAGACAATGCACGAACATTCTTCCATTAAGTATGGGATAATTCAACTTTACAAATATGCTCGTATCCTTTCTGATCAAATTTTACTCCCCAATTTTTGCAACAAGCTTAAGAAGAACAATCTGCTTTTCAATAGCTTTTTCTGCTTCACCACTAT